TGAGTTCATAAAAGTCTTCTGCACATTTCTTCTCTTTCACCTGTAAGCTGGACTCCATTCTTTTTCTAGGTTTCCCTCTTGCTAAACTTGACTGCTGTCCTGGACATCACACAGTACACACAGAAGGCAGTGGCAGAGGTGGGTACTAAGCTAGAATGGGGAATGGCAGGGTCTGGGCCTGGGCTTTGGCCCTGTAATGCCTGAACTTGCAGCTGAGGAACGGCAGCCGGGGTGGTCAGCAGGCACAAACCGACACTCTGAGGAGAGCCTGTGCTCTCTCCGTGGACCAGAGGGTCAGTGCAGCAAGAGGGGTACATGGACAGTAACACCCCACCCCATCCAGATGTCACAGGAGTGCGGCCCCACCCCAAGAGTATCCTCGGGAGGCAGGAAGGAAGGTCCTGGTGGTGGTGGGACAGCAGAGTCTGGCCACTTGCCTCCTGCTGGGAGGGGTCATAGCTGGACATCTACCATGTCCTGGTGGTGAGGTGGACACCTTCCAGGTACGAGGAGGGCCCCCCGCCACGGGCAGTCACACACAGTGAGAGGACAGACCGCACCACTACTGATCACTGGAAGCATGAGATGCCATTTGCCTCAGATGATGGGGACTCCAGGCAGACAGAGGGAAGAACCCGATGACACAAGTCAGCAAGAGCCAGAGTGGAACTGTAGAAACAAGTAAAGGGCAGAAATCCTTGCAAGAGTTGAAAGAATAAACAGACAAATCCACAATTATAGTCAGAGACTCCCTCTGCCCACCCAACAATTGACAGAACAAGTTTGCAGAAAATCAGCAAATCAGAAAAACTCCACAGTGTGGTCAACCAATGGGGCCCAGTGGGTATTTCCAGAACAGCCAACTGTGGACATATCCAAATGTCATGGAATGCATACCAAGGTAGGCCAGATCCAGGGCATGCAACAGGCCTTAACACTCTTAAAAATGCAACTCATGCTGTGTGTCCTCTGACAGCATGTTTCTGAATCATGAGATCGAATCAGAAATCAGTATCAGAGAGACCACAGAAAAATCTGCAAACAGTTGGACAATAATCAGCACATTCCAGATGATTATGGGTTAAGGAGGAAATCTCTCAGGGAGAAAAGCCACGACCTGAGAGAACACTGAATCCCCGCCCAGTCTGGGTGCTTGCTGCGGCCAGAGGGAGGGCCTCACCAACTATGCACCCCGAAAGAGGAGAGTCTCACCAGCAGTCTGGATCCGGACTTCAAAAACCTGGAAAAGGTGTGAAACAAACCCAAGAGAGCAGAGGAAGGGAAAAATAAAGATAAGGGATTCAATGAAAGTGAGAACAGAACAACAGGAAACCGGTGACCCCTAAGAGCTGGGACCGGCAGGGAGCTCTGGTCTGCAGCCCTGGGCCCCTGGCCATTGCATCCCTGTGCAGGCCTGGGGGCCTGCCGTCTCCTCAGTTCTGCTGGGGCCTCTGCTCCCTGCCTGCCACTTTAGTGACGCTGTCACGAGTCCCTGTTAGGCCAAGTCTGAGCTACTGCCAGCATGCGTGCCCCCGCCCTGGACCCAGAGCCTCTGGGCTTCAAGAGCCTCTCTCTGTGGTTTGGTCTCCTCGTCCTAGAGCTTTCACGTGACACCACAAATGTTTTTGTTCAAAACACTACCAATTCCATCTGAAAAGCGTATCAGCATGGATGTGGCAGTTTCTGAGTTCCTTATCTGGTTTTTTTTGTACACAATTTTCATTTTGACACTTTTCCTTGAACAATATACCACATTATACATTGTAGTTTTTCGATGCTGATTGTTAATCTATTTTAAGTAATAAAATGTTCTGGCTGTACCAGATAAATATTTGAAATTGAATGTTGCTAGTAATTACCACCCTGAATGCACATCCTGCCCCGTTAGGATGTGGCTCCTGTGTCTGAGTGGTCTTGCAGGGGCCGTACGCTCACCCTAGCTAGTGTCACATCCAGAGTAAGCATGCTGAGCTTCCTGGACCCTAACAGAGAGTACAGAGTTTGTGGGAGCCTTGTTACCCAACACAACACAGAGTGTAACCCCAGCCAACTTTACATTTCCATAAGTGCTTTGTATAGATGGTGTTGAATTGCTAACCTCTAGGAAGCTGCCAGAAAACATTATCATTTATCATTTCCACTCATTTCCTGAGTGACAAAGCTACCATTTTGTCACCATCTGGCCCTGTAAACAAGCTGTGACTCTTCTGCTTGTGTTTTTCCTTCTAAAATGAGAGCAGGCTCACCAGCAGTGCCCCCTCAGCACAGCACAGCCCCCCAAGGCCCGATGGCCAGGTCGTGAAGACTGCCAGTCGTGAGCTACCATGATCCTCCCCCGAGCGGCGCCTCCCCTAGACAGAACAATCCCAGGGTGCTGGGTGTCCCACATCCTGGGAAATCCCACTTTATTTGGCCAAGGACGCCACCCTGGAGGGGACACCTGTGTGGGAAAGCTGCTAGTCCAACCTGCCCCCAGCCTGTGGGGCATCCGGACTTGTCATGGTGGTGGAAAATTCTGGAGTTAGATTTTTTTTTTGAGAAGAGTTGGAGCTGGTAGGAAAACCAGATAAATTACTAGTGTCTTTCGGGTTGTAACTGGAACTGGAGTGTTCAGTCAAAGATGAAAAAGTAGTTTGGGGAAAAGAGATTATCCAATTTGTTACCAATTGTTATAGCTATTCACATACAGAAATATTAACTGTTCCTCATTTTTAACAGCAATTTAGAAAGTTGCTAAAAAAAGAAAACAAGCCCTTACTTTCAAATAATACTTAGAAATGTTTTTGTTAAAAAACCACTACTAATTACATCTAGAACGTGTATCAGCACAGATGTGGCAGTGTCTGAGTTGATTAACTATCTTATTTATTTTTGTAGGCAATTTTGATTTTGAAAGTTTTCCTTGAACATTATACACTGTAATTTTTCAAAAATAAGATTGATAATCTATTTTAACTAATGAAATATTCTAGTGTACCAGGTACATACCTGAAAATGAATGTTGGTAGTGATTATCACACTGAACATATATCCCCTGCCCCCACTCTGTTAAAATCTGAAGCTTCAGCCACTAATTGCAACCCACTCAGGGCCCAGGACCACCCTTCCACTGTGAGATTAGCCCGTCACCAGATAAGAAAACGCTCAACTGCTTGGTAGTACCTTATTATTTAAAGACAAAGCAATATTTCCATTTTCTGAAAAGTGCCCCTGGTAGTGATCGCCAGACAAGTGGGGAAGAAACTGCACATTTCAGCCCTTTCTTGCTGCTTTCAGCTAAGGACCACCTGCCAGGATGTGGGTGCCACAGCAGTGTGTCCCGGCTGTGCCATGGCCAGATGGGGTCCTTGGGACGTGCTCCCCTGGCATCTCGTCTGCCCTTCCGCACCCCTCATCACGTGTGCGGCCACGCCTGGGGCTGACTGAGCCCCTCCTCTGCCCGCCGTGAATGCGCACTGGAGCCCAGCACACCAGGGCCCCTGACATCTGGCGGTCATCACTCTGGCTGAAGCTTACCACCCAGTGCTGACCCTCATCCTGTGGGTCCGGCCAGTGTGGGAAATGGGGCCTCCGGGGGGGTTTTAGTAAATCCAAAGGACAGTTGGAGGCTTGTCAATCTTCAGTCCGACCATGTCAATCAAACAAAAGAGACCAGCTACCCTCTGGGAGTGACCTTCTGTGGCCCCTGCCCAGGAGTCCTGAGGACCATGGAAAGATGGGCCAGGGAGGCACCAGCAGGAGGCCCTGCACAGGACGAGGTGGAGAACCTGCTCCTGTCCTCACCAGTGCAAGCTGTGCCCTGGGAGGAAGGCATCTCAGACCCCTGAAACCATGTTTGTATCAGACAGGGACCCCAGAGAAAGTGTACCAGTAGGTGTGTGTGTGTACAGATACAGATAGATTCATTGTATCAGGGAGGCAGAGAAATCCCAAGACCTGCCATCTGCCAGCTGAAAACCCAGAAGATCCGGTGGTAAATCAGGAGGATCCGGCCGGAGGGCAAGAAGAGGCGGCTGTCCAGCAGAGGACCCGCCTTCTGCCTTTTCCAGTTCAGGCTGCAGTGGGTACTGAGGCCTCTTCACTCAAGCTGCTGATCCGAATGCAATCTCTTCTGTAAACGCCCTCAAGATATGCCCAGGACAGATGCTCAGGCTGACCTAAAGTCATACTGCTGGTCAGTACTAGTACCTGACCGGCGCTGAGTATGCTCAGGGGATTTAGAGGGTGCTCTGTGGGTGGGGTGACCCAGTGCTGCTTGCACCCCAGGGTTTGTGGTGGCAGCTTCTGATCCTGTGTGGATGCAGCCTGAGAGTCAGGCAGTGGACAGCTGTTTCATGGACTGACTCAAGTAACCAGAGGCTGGTGAGCTGTGGAGCACCTCCCAGTCCACCAAATGTGTTTCAAGTGAGGTGAAGGTGCCTTGAGCACAGGTCAGCAAGCAGGAGGCTCTGAGGTGGACACGTGGGAGTGAACGTGTGGTTCCAGGTCTTTCCAACCCCTTGAAGGAGCCAGGAGGGCCTTGGGCTTCACCCGAGTCTCTTTCCCAACACCCAGGGGCCCACTTCAAATCTCTTCCCCCTTCTCAAAGACCTGTGGCAAAGGTATGAAAGCACAGCTCTCCCAGGGCCAGGCGGGCAGGTTTCAGGACAGACCCGGAAGGAGGAGTCCAGGTGGTCAGGAGCCGCGGACACTGACGACCCATTTCACTGTCATGGTTCACATGGGATCTAAGCAAACATCCCCAACTAGATGAAAAACAGAATTTATTCTGAAGAATGTCCCATTCCTAAGATTCTGATTTTGGCTCCTAAAATACCTTTTTACAAGAGCAAATACCTTTTTTACTTCTTTACAAAGTGATGTTAAATCTTTTATTTTCCACTAAGTAAACAATAAGGAAGAGCCACATTTTTCAGGCAGATGTCCACCCTCCTCTTCCCCATCCCGTTACACATTTTCACTCACATTAAATTACATGTTTTCTCAACTTGTATTTCCAGATATCCACCACAGGAGAGATACAAGTCAGCCTCCTTGTTGACAAGCCAGCGTGGAGGTGGGTCATGAGCTTGCCTTCTTCCTGCCTCCCTCCCTCCCTCCCTCCCTCTGCTGAGACACTGGAAACTGGGCAGAGGCAGGTTCTGCCAGCTTCTCTGCACTGCCTCTCGCTTGGGAAGGCCGATCAGAGTAAGGAAACCCATGTCAGGCACTTATGTGCTCACACACACACATGACACAAGAGGGCTCCTTCGTATGAAAAGGCTTTTTGGAATCATTAGTGTGAAAACCTATAAAGTCACAGCTTTGTGGGGCGGGCTGACTGGCTGCAAATGCAGTCTGTTGGGCTTGCCATGTCACAGTGGGAGCCACCAGACAGGTGGAGGAGGCTGAGTGCAACATGCCGGGGCCCGCGGGCTGGGAGGCGCTGATCCAGCCTCCTGGGCCCCCAGCCAAGCTGGAGCAGGCCAGTCAACTCAGGGCAAAGTTTTCTGTATTCATCCAGGTGGTGAAGAATTATCTTTGACTGGGGTTCCCAATGGAAAGTCAGAAGTATTTTCATTTTAACTGCAGACGAGGAGAGCATTTATGCTTGCAGCTCCTGTCACAGAGCAAGTAAGAGCCATTTACAGCAGGTGCCCTTCTGCCCACCATTTGGTCCCAGAATAGCTGACCTACGAAGGCACAGCACACACAGCTTCTGTGCCTCCCAGGCCCAGGGCGAATAGGAGGCAGGTGGGGCAGGTTCATTGTCGGACCTCAGGACAGAGGGGAAGGTGGGTCGGACGTGGTGGTGTAGGGGGGCCTTACTCCAAGTGCCTCTGGGCGCTGCTGGGTTAGGGACAGACCCTTGGGCCCCAGGGGGATTTGTGCCAGGCAGTTTTGGGGGGCATCCTGGGAAGGGCTGCAGGGAGGCCCTTGGGGAGACCGGGGCTAGCGGGTGGCAGGCAGAGTATGGCAGGGAGGGGCTGCTGGGGGGCGGGCAGCAGTCCCCAAGAGACATGAGAGCAAGACGAAAAGGGAAGGTTCCAGAGAGGAGGGCTGGGTGGGCCCTGAGGACAGAAAGGGTTTCAGGAGGTGGGAATGCAGGGGACAGGTGCTGGGCAGAGGGACGGGAAGCACTCAGCCCTGCATGCCATGCCCCACCTTGGCACCTGCACGAGCAGGTGGCATTACAGGCTCTGTTCAGGACATGGGCTCTGACACTTAAAACAGATGGGTATGAACCCCTTCCTCTGACATCTAACTGGTGGATCTTGAGCAAACCGCTGGGCTTCAGTGTATCCACATCAGGGTAGTGACTGCACGTGTCTCATGGGAGAATGAAGTAACCCATGTGAAGAGCTGGGCACACCCACCGGCTGTCAGGGCAAGTGTCACTGTGTCAGGGAGTTGAGTGTAATTGCTGAATGTATGAATGGCACTTCTCAGGTCCATTGGGAAGAGTTTCAGGAAGGAGGGAGCCCGATATGGCCAGGAGGTCGTGGGGCTGTGGGCAACCAGACTGTGGGGCACTAGCCCACCTCTGCTCAAGGGCCCCATTTCTATTTTATGTGAATTTTGGGACAGGCACTTGGAAATCCACTCTGGAAAATGGACGAAGTTGCATAAAAGTAACCTTAAATAACTGAATTAGAAACTTTTAGATTTAGAAAATACAGAATCATGTAGGGTATCCATGATTATTTCCCGTGTTATAAGTATGTTAACTTTTATATGTATACTATTTGCTTTCAGGCAAGTTACTTTTCAGTAATTCACTATAAGCTTGATATTAAGTTTAAAAATTCATTTAAAATATTTTTTAAATCTAGAAAACCAGTAAAAATGCTTTAAAAATCTCAGAGTTCATAAAAATTAGCAACTCTTCCTGCTAAACCTGAAACCCTCTGTGAAGAATAGGAAAAAATGCCTTAAAATATAAAAGACAAAAAAAAAAATCATCTGGTACATATACAAAACATTTTATTCCCTTAGTATCTGTGAACATCGTATTTGGGCATATCAGCAAACTGATTCCAAAGCTGAGACACGAGGGCAAAAGACCCAGAATAGGCACCTCAGTATCGAAGAAGAACAAGGTCGGAGGACTGACACCACGCAGCCATGTGGCCTACGGTAAAGCCACAGTAACAACACAGTGTGGGGCTGGGGAAAGAACAGAGAAACAGAGCCACAGAACAAATAGCCCGGATGCAGAGACACGAGAGGACGGGCAGCTGGTCACTGACAAAGGCGCAGGGGCAAAACTACGAGCAGAGACTGTCTCTTCCGCAAGCAGTGCTGGACAAAGTGGGCGTCCACCTGCGGACAGGTTAATCTGGATGCAGACCTTGCACCTTTCACCAAAATTAACTCAAAATGGTCCACAGGCCTACATGTAAACACAAAACCATAGAATTCCTAAAAGACAACATGGGGGAGAACCTAGGTGACCCTGGATTGGTGACAAGTTTTCAGATACAATACCAAAAGCATGATACATGGAAGGAAAATGGATAAATGGACTTTATTAATTTAAAAATGTCTATGAAAGACATGGTTAAGAGAATGGGGGAAAAAGACAAGCCAGACTGGGGGAAATATTTGCAAAATCTCGTAAGGAGTAGCTCACCTGATAAGTGAATGTGGTGAGGTGCTTTGCTGAGAGGAGTTGATCCCTCGAGCACACAGATGGCAAAGCCATGGTCACTACTTACAAGTCCATTCTGAATGGCCAATTATATCCTCAGAGGGTGGTTTGATTTTTAATGCTTTAGGAAGAAGTGATTTTAAAGCTCATTTTATTAACAGCAAAGAAACTTTGACTGTCTTTCCTGTCTAGCTAAACTTGGAGCCAAAGTCACCAGAATGTCACACCACCCTGAGGTGGAATCATTCCAGGCATGTCACCAAAGACCCTGGGTCACAGTGGGATGTGCACATGTGTGCACACGCACACAAACCTTGGCTGATGCCCTCAGTCACACCTGCAATCAAGTTAATAAGCATTTCATCTATAGCGGCTGCTCCTTTCACTGTTGTAAAGGATAAAATTGTACCCTCAGTCCCTAAAATCTGCCTCATGATCAACATCTCTTCATCTTTACTGGTCTTCAGAACCATCTTAAGAAATGAAGAAGGAATTCCAGCTGGGTGTCCTCCCAGCTGGGTGTCCTGACTGACCAGCTCTGGACACAGGGACACAGGGCTCTGGACACAGGGACACAGGATATCCTGCATTCAACCTGGCTCTGCCCCTGAGGCCGGGAAGTAACATACAGGTTTGGCACTTGGGAGCCTTCCCAGGGAGAACCCGGGTTGGAGCACTGGGCGAGCCTTTGCCCCAAACAGGTCACAGAGAGAACTGTGAACCCGGGGCCTGGCGTCCAGCTTCCATAAGGGGGATGCCCCATGCCCTTGGCAGCCCTCGGAGAAGCTCCTCGCAGGGAGTGACTCGGGGGTGGCTGGCCAGGTGCTCAGGGCTGGGCGGGAACAGGTGGACCCCCAGCCTTTCCCTTTGGTGCTCAGCAACCAGGGTCCCTGGGGCTACAGCTCCTCCGCCTCCAGCACACCTACAGCCAGGGGCCACAGAAAACGGGAAGCTCCCACTCATACAATGCCCCAGTGTGCCCACACCGCCTGAGGTTTGCAAATATTTAATCCTCCCAAACCAAAGTGTAACAGATAAGGAAACAGGCGCTAGAGACGAACTGACGTGCTGTGGCCACGTGGCTGGTGAGCTGAGGAGCACGTGTGAGCACCTCCACATCTAGGACTGCCGATGAGAAGTCTCTCAGGGAGCTGGACTGGAAACAGCTCAAATCTGGGTGCTGATCTCAGACAATGAGCTTAACTAAAAGTACTCAGAGCCACAGGTAAAGGGCCTGGACTCTGCCTACCCTCTCGTTTCATAGGATTTCTGCCCTTCCCCAGCCTGCACCATCCTGCAATCAGACAGTTGTACTTCGTATTGCCATCCACACTCAGGCACCCCTGAGGGCTGGGGTGTGTGTGCTACCGAGGCCCTCCTGGTGGGCCCTGGGGCGTCCAAGGAATGGAACTGGTGTCCCTCCCAACTGGAGTGCTTTCTGACACTGAGACACGAAGGGCAGAGGTGCCGGCGGTTCTGAGGGTCTGAGCAGCACCTCTGATGCCCAAACGGGGGCAGTTAGGAAGCTGCCTGGCTCTGCTCTGCTGCTGAGGTCTGCCCATGGCAGCCTCGCAGTTAATGACAGAAAGACTGCCGGCCTCACGCCACCAAGCCGCGCTGATTTACACTGGGCTCCTGAATACGGGGTGACTTGAGATGCTCAGCAGAATCAAGGGAAGAAGAGCATCCATCAAGTCAGAGAGAAGTCATCGCTTACTGGCCCTGCCTCCTCCCAGATGCTGCTGAACGCCCCAGGGTCACTGTCGCCTCCAGGAGGAGCGGGGTGGCCACGTGTCCGCCCTGCAGCCCTGGCTGCACAGCAGGGCTGTGATTCAGCCTGTATTTTTCGGGACACTACAGCGGCTCCAGAGAGGACAACTGTAATTGAAACAGACAAAAATAGCTGTTGGCAGAAAACCCCACACTTAGAGCAGCCCTTGTTCAGCAGTTCTCACAGCTGGCGTCCAGCACCCTCGGCTTGGCCTGCACCCCAGACCGACCAGCCTCTTTCCTTCCAAAGGAGACGGCAGAAGCCCTACACAGAGGCCTGGGAGTGTCAGCCAGGCCTGCACCACTGCCTGGTGCAGCCGAGGTCCTGGCGGTCTCTGCGCCTCAGGCAAACGAAGCCTCCTGGCGCCTGTCAGCTGCCCTGGCGTGGCAGTAGGCCTCTCTCAGTGGAGGGCCGATGTCCTGCTCCCCCAAGCCGACCAGACATGACTTCAGGTGTCGCCCATCACTGCACTGACAAACTGAATGCCAACCCTGGAAGAAGCCCACTGGGGGCCATCCCTACCCAGCATGACCACAGAACAGCACCCTGCCCAGTGTTTTGACCCACAGTTGTGGCTCGTGGGAGTGCGTCCCTCACGGGGTCCTGCTCTGCTGGAGAGAAGGGCAAAGTGCTGAGAAGAATTCATCTAGTGCGA